TTTGCTGCTATTGCCATATTTAAATTTGCACCAGGGAAACGTTGCTTTAAATGATCTAATTTGTTTCCTTGCATGCCCCGCCCGTCCTCTCCCCTAAAATCAGGTGCCCATGAGCCTGAGGGGCGCACTTCACACGCTCCTCAGGCGGCCTCACGAAGAATCCCTACCGAAAAACTGTCCCTGAACTTAAACAATTGCTGTACGAGCAGCGTCTGACTGCCTTGCATCTATATAATTTCCACTGTAGACAAGATAAAGGTGGCCTTATAGCAACGGTTCAGTTACTTAGAAGGACTGGTCTGGATGTAAACTGGAAGATCTTTTTCAAATAGTACCAAAATGAATCTCATAAGACATGGTTGCCGGCTGACAAAGGAACTGTACAGCACAAATCAATCCCACACTTTTCCCCTCGGAAAGTCGTTCGTCAGTGAAACCCTTTGCCGGCGTATGTTGTGCATTCTTTCACATGAGTGCCTGCAAGAGACACTTGGATAATCATCTGTAAACGGTCAAACCGAACTTTCAACACCTTATCTAACGAATTACTGACAGAATTTTAAACATACTACTTCCCTGATTTCAACAGATTGTTTTGTTTATATTAAATTGGACTCGGGCGAAAATTTCATAATGCAAATGCAGTGAACGTGTTGTACGCTGTTATTTCGTAAATGTCTCATATTTTTAGCATGTATGTTTCATGATTAATTTTATGCTCTTTACATACTAAAAAGACCTGTTATACATTTTCCCCTAAGCTATTTTTATGCATAGCTGCACCGTTTAAATATAGTTTTTAAGGGTTTCAGTCATTGGCTGACTGATACTGATCGATGCGTTGCCTGTGAGTTTGTATGTCACCTAACAATAACTGTTCATGGCAGCCGTCATTTTTCTTCATTTCTAGTACACCTGAGTTGGCACTCCTATACCATTTGCACAGTGCATTTAGAAGGTTAAAAAATACAAAGACAACAGAGGTTATATCGTGGTAAATAAGACGGAGATGGATATACGCCAATGGAAGCGGAGGGCTAATACTTATGTAACATATGCATATCGATCAGAACTCAAGGACGCCCAAACTCTAGCTGTCATCGGCTGTCTGAAGGAGCCCTAATCCGAAGTATAAGTAGCCGAATGCTTGCGCTATTCAAAGGCGTTCGCCTATCTTTCATTTAATAAATATGAACGGACACTCGTATGCTTTCAAATACACAATCAATGTTTTTTTGCAAAAGTTCACACGTCGAAGACTTCTGCCTCCTCATAGGCTTAACAAAAATATGTTGTGCGACTGGGTACTTCATTTGTTACCCTGCCTCTGGCTTATTGTTTCACTCTAGGTCAAGGTCACTCGTGTTCAAGGTCACTGCAGTGATTCAATTTGCACAGTTGTCAGAGCCCTTCTAAGGCGAAGTGGCTGAACTCACAACGTTCAGTGGCTCTCTCTAAATGTTACCAAAACTCGCTCCAACGCACATCTTGCAGCCTCATCCTGCACCGGCCGGCCGTCGGCGCGGACCGCTGCCTCGCATAAATGAAAACAACCTGATCCTGCTGAAAAAACGATATTCTAGTGAATTTGGTTCCAACGCACAGGGAGTAAATGCCTCCTTGGCTGAAGCACACCGGACAACAGTATGGAAAATGTTTCAAGGACGCGAACTGGTTATGCGAAGACTAGACCGGGCACAGGACGCGGTGAGATAACGAATGTTCCTAATTTTTAACCCTGGCTCACGTAGGTTCCTGATTGGCTAAGTTTTTGCTAGAGGTATAGCTGCAGGCTTGTGGGCAGAAGAGATCGTGGCTGCTTTCAGGGACAAACGTATATTCTTGAGCAAGTAAACGTTACGTATGTTAAACTTAGTGATTCCTGAACATCGATGCATCTCTGTCATTGATGAACGGGATGGTAAGACATCTCTAAATCCAACTTCCCCCAATTTCGTTCTTGAAAATGCTGTTACTTAAAAGTGCTTAGGTGCTTGAAAAAATGGTATTCAATGGGGGAAAGTTTGGGAAAATATGTAAAATGTGTTAAAATCTCGTATCTCAAGTCACTGAGTTTCTGCAGTGTCATCTTAGCAACCTGTGGCCGTGGAGCAGAATTTGGCCACGTCGACTCACTAGTGCAAGTCTCATTCTTTCCAAGGAGCCAAACATTTCGACGAATTGCACGCAATTAAATTCTGTTGTGATGCTCTTATTAGCATAGAGAAAGCTGTAATGGACAGCACCAATATTGGACCACCAGACTGCCGCCATAACTTTATGTTGGCAAAATTTCGGTTTCGGGAAATGTTTAGGTGCTTCTTCATAGTTAAGCTATGGCCCTGCTCACAGGATCAATTTTGCAGGACACTTCATTTTTGATCAAGTGATAGATCGTTAGAATGTGACAGCGAAAGTTTCGAACGCACGTCAAAACTTCGAACTCGTTTTTTTAACTGAGCTCCTGTGGGCCCCTTTATTGAGGTTTATATGTTTCAAACTTATATTTTGAAAGAATTCATAGGAAGATTATTAAAGAGTGCAGATCACTTATTATGCATGTTTAATTTTGTATGAAACGCTACAAAACTAGAAAGAAATTTCAACTGTTAATGACGAGTCGAAATATCAGCCAATATTTTCCACACAAATGGTGGCGATTTTTCCTGAGAGGAGACATTTTTCCGAAGGTTCATGTATCTGTAAGAAAGTCATACGAAATTTCAACTGTCCTTTGCAACACCTTTTCTAGTAAACAAAAAGAAGCCATATTTTAGGTAGGGGCTTCTCATTGTGAGCCACATAATTGTACATGTGAAAGGTATCACATCTCTTTTTGAAGTTCCCTGCTGTTGCTGATTATAGTTTTTGGACGGAGGAAGAATAATCTACAAATGCTGCATTTACTTAATCTCAGTTTGGTTGCAAACCTTCATTTTGGTAAATTGACAGAGTTAGATTAAAAGCAGAAGAAACGATTGCTAGGACAAGAAGTTAATTCGCTTGAAATTTGGATCCTCTTTGGAACTCCTACTCAGAGAGGGTTGTAGGTGTGATGATCGCAGCAGGGGCCAACACAAGTCTTGACGTGGAAGTTATCTATTGTAGGAATTCTAGGCGGAAGAACGTGATTTCAAGCCTATAAACTACTGCAAGATGACGCCACGGCAAACAAGATAGTGGCGCAGGGAACAAAGGGGACGCGGACCCGCCATTGGTTGACAGCAAAAATGTTGGAGCCAACGAGCGGCCGCCAGGCAGGCGAACGCACGCACCGTGAACATGGATATAATACGAGGCTAGCTGCAAGACAGATTCATTCAACTTCCGTGGAGGAGTAAGCACGGTACTCTGACGATGGAGGCGAGTGTACTTTTGAAACGTCAATCAAAATATAATTCGGTCCATGAAATTGCCCCTTCTTCTTCCTCTTCGGATGATGATGCACACGATATATATACCATATTGCCGATAGAAGTAAATATGCGAGTCCCGGGCGTAAATGAGAATAAAGGGCGATCCTGGGAGGCATAACTGTATTTTTTCTGACGTTTAAAAAGCAGGCAGAGTTTTTCACCTATAAGTACTGTGAGGCGCGGTACGATACTTACCTTCGACGACGGAAACTTGTCTGTTTTTGAAACGCCAGGAAAAATATAATTATGGTTCCCGAGATCGCCCTTTTTTCTCATATATATACTAACTGCATATGTTGTTTCTGGCATCGCATTAGCCTCGGAGCTCCGGTCAACCGTCTTTCCAGTACTTGAGGACCAGAAGAGGAAGAATGGGATGGCTAATTCTTGTATATACCGTTATCAACCAATCAGAACTCACCCTGGCAGAAAAAAAACCACAGGGTTAAACTTGTTTCCGGGAAGTAGTCAGTCCAGGCGTCCGCATGTTTAAAATTAATTTTGGTAGACTGCCTACAGCAAACCCTATTAATGCAAACATTTCTGGCACTTGCCTGATCCCAGGTCTACAAACAAAGCATTCAGCTGCACAACCAGAAGAAAAAACAAACACAGAGAAACATAGAGCGAGAACAGAACTTCTTGAAATTTATGTATGGCCACATTCTCCAAATGCCAATGGATGGTCAGAGACAGTCGGTATTTGCAGCCGGTGATGCTGAATTGGCCCCGACAGGTCTATTACTGCCGCCTCTGGAGACTGAACCGGCAAGCAGCAGCCTCAACCCATCGGTCCGCAAGATGCCAGCAATGACAACTCAGTCCACGGGACGCGAGAGTGGTCTGGGCAGTCAGATTAGCAAATCTGAAAGGGTGTTGGAGGAACAGTCCGAAAGGAGTACCTTCAGGGCCTGGGCCTTTGATACAAAAGAACAGAACACTGAGAGCTTTGTCCGCGAGCTCAGACGCTGGCGAGATGCCGACACATGGCAGCTGGTACGTGAAAGTGTATAAGGGAAGGTTAAAGTGATTTGAAATATATATATATATAAAATGGATCCGACAAAGCAAAGGGAGACCGGAATGGCCATTTCTGGCTT